CAGGTTCGTTATTCGTTTTTGTGAGAAATTCGAAAAATTTAAGCTTAATGTGTTAAATGTAAAAGTACATGAAACATCTGTGCTCGTTATAATATTTGAATTGGGAATGAAAACGATCTCTCTATTTAGGTTCTATTCTCTTCAAACTAAAATTAAAAACACAGATGAAGTATAAGAGAAATTAAAGTTCAAGGAACAAGGAAAAATTTCAAATTTCTGTTTTTACAAATTACTACTTGCTAATGTGTAATTCACTAAATTTTTGTGGAAAATTATGAATTTAAATTTTCATAAATATCCGCAGTTCAATAGTATTATACAATACTTATAAAATAAAATTAAAGTAAAATTTAACATACAAGAGAATCCAATGAATCCTTGTGCTTCTTGCATTGGATACTTTGGTCCTATGATGGTCCCGATCACAAAATCGAAAATAGCTGCGATGATGATGGCTATGAGAAAATTTTGAGCCTGAAAAAGAAAAATTACTTGATTAGATATCTTCAAAAACGAAATATAGTAAAAAGAATATAACTATTTATCGTAGCAACAAAAATAAACTAAAGCAATAATAATATATGATAATATTAGTACATCAACTGCCATAGTAATTCCTATTCATATAAATATCTTAGCATAATCATGAATATCACGGATTAAAAAAAATTTAAATAACAATTAATATTACAAAATTTACTTATTTCTTTATTTTATTTATTCCAATTTATACGAAGCAGGTTTAGTAAAAGAGAGATGTGAATTAAAGATTTAAGAAACAAAGAAAAGAAAAGAATTAGAATTAGAAAATCTATTTATCGTTTGATCTTCTAATTAGAAAAAAAAAAACAAATACGTGGTTCATCTAGCTTCTATTTATTTATTTTTTTTCATTGTATTTATAAAAATATATTATAAAGCATAAATTTCGCGTGGTCATGAATTTTTCTTCTTGTTTCTCGAAAAAAAAAAGAAAAAGAAAAATAAGAAGAAATGCACCTTTGATTCCCATTCCATGCCAATCGCGCAGATCATGATCATAACGATCAACGCGACTGTTCCAATGAGTCGTACGTCGTTTGTCCCGTTGTCAATGATCTTCAAGTTGTGCTCTCGCAACAAGTCGTTCAGGGAGTCGCAGAAACCAATGGTGTTCATGGATGCCGAGACCGCGTTCGCAAACGCGAAAACGATCCCCACCGATGCACCGAATTCCGCGCCCAGAGTTCTCGATATGATGAAGTATATACCACCTGTAGAAATTATACCAATTTACATACGTCATTGAACTTAACGATTCGGCCTGGAAATATTTTCATTGGCAACTTTTCTTGTCTGTTTTCTTCTGGAGTGAAGAACTCGCGAATGGGAGAGACGATGATCAAAGGATCATCGATCGAGGATCAAAGATTGACTTGCAACTTCTGGAAAGTAATTTGCATTATCATAGAATCTATTTTTCAAATACTAGCGCGTGAAAATCTAAAAGTCGAGTAATTAGAAATACATTTCAAATCATTGCAAGTGTATTATTTGTTTCATCATTCTCACTGAAATTATCGCGAAACTTTTTGCATCAACGAGAGAAACTTCAGAACAGTGGAGCGTTTTGTTATTTCACTTTTATCGAAATTGCAAGAGAAACTGTAAAAATCCGCAGCGCGTAGATTGAAACGATTTCCACGTCAACTTCTGCTCCGCGCGTGGGTCGTCGCGATTAGGATTTCGCGCGGTTATTTTTCAATCCGGCGTCTCTCCCTTTTTTTTCGTGGAAGAACAATTGTCAACGTTCGATTGGCCAGCGAGAGACAGTGTATACACAGTGGCCGCTCCTTAAGGGGAGAAAAGTAGGGGATGAGAAAGCGGGGGGTAACACACCTCCCTTTACTTCCCCATTAGTACTAATTGCGCTGAGGCTAAGCGTCGTGATGACGCAGACGACCGCCGATATTCCGATAATGATGACGCTGTGCAGTATGCCCGCTTGTGCCACCACCCACGACAATCGCAGGAAAAGCATTACACCCCATATGTTGAGCAGACATGGTATCAGGACACCTTGGATCCATCCTAGCTTTATTCCTGTCTGCCCTTGCTGCGTTACACCGATCTGGCCAGCCTCTACGTTCGGATCCTGAAAATTGTCAATTTTTCAAGATCGCCTTTATTCGTCAGCGAAGAACATAACTGAATCATCAAATGTAACGAATGGATCACGCGTCAATAATTGTGTGTGTGTGT